CACACACACACTCACTCTCTCTCTCTCTCTCTCACACACACACACACACACTGGCTGCTTCATGCTGTGAATCTTCAAATGAACTTTGTGCTGCTGTGTGACGGGAGAGTTTCCTCTTTTGTGTGTTTATTCCACCAAACGTTAGAAGTACTGTTCAAAGGTTTGGAATAATTAAGGCTTTTTATTTTTCTGAAAGAAGTCTCTTCTGCTCACCAAGGCTGTGTTTATTTGAAAATACAGTAAAAAATGTGAAATATTATTAGAATGTAAAACAGCTGTTTTCTGTGTGAATCTCTGTTAAACTGTAATGTATTTCTGTGATGCGCAGCTGTATTTTCAGCATCATTCCTCCAGTCTTCAGTGTCACATGATCTTCAGAAATCAGTATAATATGCTGATTTGAAAACAGTTATTCAATATTTTTGAATCAATACAGATACAGTCTTGGTGAGCAGAAGAGTCTTCAGGAAGGTTAAACTCGTCAGATGGTCGTTAGCGTGTCTCTAGAGAGTCGCTCTGCTCTGGTTTAGGAGCTGTAATTGCAGGGCGTCCGGGACACAAAAACACACTCAGATACCAAACAAACTCTGCTTTGGGCTTCTTCTGTGTGACTGAACCACCAGGAAGCTCCGAGAACAAATACTGCATGTGATCTGGATTCAGATTCACGTCAGTTTCACACTCTTTCCTGAACGCACGCAGGCAGAGATGGAGGCTCATGGGAAATGTTCTTCCCTCAGGAAGCAGTCACTCCCTCACTTCCTGGCTGAACTTCCCGTGCGATCGGGAGCTGATTGGTTGTATGTGTTTGGGGGCGGGGTCTGGGGTTGCCAGGGAAACGTTGAGCTGATTCAATGGGCATTCATGCTTTATTTTTATCACACAATAGCAGTGAAAAAAAGCCATTGTGTTATTTCCAGAGTTTGACGATGATTATTACTGTGATTAGAGCAGAAAGGTTATCGGCGCGTCACAGGAGAGCAGATTCATTTTTAGCTCTCGTCGAGCGTTAAAGGAAAAATCCACCCAAACATGACACGTTTACTCGTATGATCTTTGTTTCTGTGAATCACACAGCAGACGTTCAGCAGGACCTTGTATGTGGCGTCTGACAGTATAAACGACTCGGATTGAAGATCAGATTTGAAAATGTGTGTAAGCAGTGGAAAAAACCTGTAAGTTGTTTGTGTTTTGTTTGCAGTCACTATCCGAAGACGTCGTTCACTATCGTGACGGACACGCCGGAGAACCTGCGTCTGAAGCAGCAGAGTGAGCTACAGAGTCAGGTGAGCGTCGCACCTGTGTTTCCGGGCCAGGACTCATCTCACGTTGAATCTTGCATCAAAGCATTAAGCAGAAATCCAAAGCGTGTTTTCTGATGGTGGCCCAGATTTCTGCACCGTCTTCCTTTGACTCTTCTGGATGTTCATCTAGAGCAGAAACACTGCAGATATCTGGAAACCGGCGTCACACGTCTGTTATTGATTACATATTGATGTTTGATCACAAAGATTATTCTCCACGCGAAACTCTGAGCCAATCTGGGAACTGAACAGAGAAGCGCTTTTAGTGATAAATGTTTCACGTTCTGCATTGTTTGTGTTTCCAGGCGTTCAGATGAGTTCGTTCGGATCTCCGGCCGCGTTCGCTCGTTATGTTCAGTCGATTGAGCCGTGAGATCGACGCTGATGTCCCACATATCGCAGCGCAGTGTGTCTGTGTTTTACATCAGAGGATTGTGACCTAAAAACTGGTCATGGCTCTGTTCTGATCGGATCATAAAACACTGCACTCACTGTAAAATATGTGATTCACACAGTGCTTCTGCTCATCATGAAGCAAACTATGAATCACTCAGGATCTGCTTGATTCAGTCATAGTGAATCATGTCAGACTTCAGTGAAACCAGTTTAGATTTCTTTTAGGCTTTCAAACAAAACCCTTTGACAGTGTGTGAAGATGGTTGTATAAGAGACGTGTGTGTGTGTGTGTGTGAGTGTGTGTGTGTGTGTGTGAGTGAGTGAGTGAGTGACTGAGTGAGTGAGTGAGTGTGAGTGAGTGAGTGAGTGAGTGACTGAGTGAGTGAGTGAGTGTGAGTGAGTGAGTGAGTGAGTGACTGAGTGAGTGAGTGAGTGTGAGTGAGTGAGTGAGTGAGTGACTGAGTGAGTGAGTGAGTGTGAGTGAGTGAGTGAGTGAGTGACTGAGTGAGTGAGTGAGTGTGAGTGAGTGAGTGAGTGAGTGACTGAGTGAGTGAGTGAGTGTGAGTGAGTGAGTGAGTGAGTGACTGAGTGAGTGAGTGAGTGTGAGTGAGTGAGTGAGTGAGTGACTGAGTGAGTGAGTGAGTGTGAGTGAGTGAGTGAGTGAGTGACTGAGTGAGTGAGTGAGTGTGAGTGAGTGAGTGAGTGAGTGACTGAGTGAGTGAGTGAGTGTGAGTGAGTGAGTGAGTGAGTGACTGAGTGAGTGAGTGAGTGTGAGTGAGTGAGTGAGTGAGTGACTGAGT